CTAGTTTTACTCGCCAGGCTAATATACTAAAAAAGAGGGTGCCTCGAACAAACTAGAGTTGTCAGGAAAATTCATGATCCTTCTAGAAACTCTAGTGCGCATGCTCCCAGCGTCGCGTGACTTCCGCTGTCGTAACAATATTTTAAAAGTTATGGTTTAAACGCCGAATGTTGACGAATCATCATGATGAGTTATAATATTTGGCGAAATACTTCTTGGGCAATGACATGTGCGAGACAAAAGATAAGTCTGAAAGAAAATCATGTAGTTAATGTTATCATTATCAGATATCTGAAGCCTATTGGTTTCTAATGCTTCTACAGATATCGGCATTTAAACTTTAATCCTGGCAATGTTTACAACAGAATAATTTTCTATGGGTTTGGATTTTGAGGCCTGGCATGGCCATGTGGTTAAGGCGCTCAACTCGGAATCTGAGGGTTGCGGGTTCGAATCCTCGTCTCACCAAATATGCTCGCCTTGTGGGCGTTATAATATTAGGGTCAATCCTACTATTCGTTGGTTAAAGAGTAGCCCCAGAGTTGGCGGTGGATAGCAATGACTAACTGCCTTTCAATGCTAAATTAGGAACGACTAGCGTTGATCTGTTTTATTTTATCAAATCAAATAACTTCTTTAATAATATATTGTGAAAATATTTTATGTACAGAATATAATTTGAATTTATTAACATCTCGATATTACTACCACTATAACTAACGTTAATGTTGTAGATGAGTTCCTAACTAGATAATTTATCAAATAAATAAAAATAAGCAAAATATATAATTGAAGCTATTATTATTTAGTTCTAAAATGAGTTTTACATCCATATGGATTCTAAACATGAATAATGTACATTTTATAAGCTATTAAACTTTTCAATTTGCAAAATCTGACACATAATAATATTGGGTAGGATGTATGTATTAATATTGTCATATATTTATTGTGCGTTGGAATCGAATACGTTGTTGAAGAAGTTACACCAGTGCAAGTCAGTCGACAGTTTAAATAATGGATGCTGACGTGTGGAGTTTTCTCTTGTGTATAGTGACCGGTTTGGTAATATTTGAAATATAATCTTAATTCATATATATTAATATTTTCATGTATCAAGAAACGATGTTAACTTATTAAGTGCTAAAGTGAACAATAAAATGGAAAGATCTTAAGCTTTCACTTGTAAGAATAATAGTATTACTATTATTACTATTACAAAAGATTAAAATTCAGTCGTATCATTAAGGCCTAACTCATAACTTTTGAGTGTTAATGTTACTCTTTATTTTTAGTGTTACTAGACGTATTAACCATTGGCGTAGTATTGTTAGTACTAGTCTGAAATACAACCTATAATGTTGGGTTTCAAGATATGCTTTAAGTTTTTAGTTCAGTACCGATTTACCTGGCAGTGTTACTAGTACTACTACTACCAGTTCTGTTACTTATAGTTATACTATTACTATTAGTGATGCACAGGCTGAAGCGGTATATAATATGTGTCGAGGTTTTTATTTCTCTATTGACTATTATATTCTTTAGGTTGGCCCTTTTGTAATTGAATTTTGAAATACCAATAAAAGATTAATTTGATATAGTATAAATTTTTTATGTATATTTTGTAAGTATTAGTAGTACTAGTATTGATTATCATAAATATGGTAAATATGTACATAATATAGATATTTTATTTATTTGAAGGGCTGGGCATGGCTTTGTTGTTAGTGTGGTGAGGAGTGATCTGAGAGTCCATGGTTAATGACCATCCATGTGGTTGGTCTGATGTCAAAGCCATGTGATCTTGCTTAGTAATGCAGATGCCATTTTGACAAAAGGGCAAACAATAGTGAAGCGAGTAAAGTTCCGAATACGTATACACGTGTTACTGCTGTAGCTGCTGTGCAAATTCTTCAATTACCATTTACATATTATTGTTTGATTGTCTAATTATCAATTGCAATGTCTCATGAATATGTAGAGAACTTGTCAGCCAAGGCATTAGTCAGATATCAAATAAAGTTATAGTTAATTGGGCTTGATTCTTGTCTCTACTGATGGTACATAGCTGGGGTGGTCCTTTATATTTCCTAAAATAATAATAATAAAAACTGAATAGACCATACATTTAAAAATCACATAAAGGTAAGGTTTTTAATCTGTTTGAGTTCCATTCAAAATGCTAAGATTGATAAGCATTATGGCTACTAGAGTTAATATAATATCACACCATCAGACGAAAGTTCAGTGAGAATTTTTCTATCAAGTGTATGAAAGGAATAGGATTTCCCCTTTGTTGCACTATTTCTTTGCCTCGTTGCTATGCAGACATCGTATTGTGGAGGGAAAAGTTCCCAGATGTCTGACCTTGCCAATTATTTCAAAAGAAAGATGATAATAACAAATCACATTGCATTTTGCAGCTCTGGATGCATTATAAAAGTGACAGTCAATTTTTCCTACTTGATTAGAGTACCAGATTTTGTGATAGGTGCTGTCAAATATCTGTCTCCCCCTATAGTTTATCAGATTGAAATTAGGGAGGGCTTAGTGTAGGTGCTAGTGTAGCTTTAAACAAATATCTAAAACATTATTTTGAAGAGTGATGTTTCAAAAGATTGGAGACTAGCTACTGGTACCAATTCTTCAGGGAGGAAGTAGACAATGTATAAGTAATTAATGGCCAGCTAGTCTTATTTCAGTGATTAGGAAATTATTAATCAATAAATAAATTGTACAATAGCACTTTGGCAAATTTACTATTATCATAGATAGTTAGCACTGATTTATAAAGGTAAGTTCATAAAAATTTTAATTTCTTAGAAAGCATTACATTAAGTCTAAGCATAGGTAATGCAGTGGATTTGGTGTACTTAGACATTCATTACTAAAGGTGCTGAAGTTTTATAGAGATTTAGACTGTTTGCGAGCTGGGCTAATACTTATAAGATACCTTTAAAATAAAAATAAGGCTATACACTTTGGTTTTCAAAACATAATTTATTTTAATACCCTTACAGGGAAAGCTCTAGGTGTAATTGATGAAGAATAGACCTTAACAAGTCTGTAAAGCCTACTAGACAATATATTTTAACTAGTAATAAAGCAAACAGGATTTTAAGTTTTATACATAGATAAACTTAGTGTAAGCTGAAGGAAGTTATCAGTTCACTTTATAAGGTGCTGGTTTAACTTTGTTTATCTGAGTTATGAAAATATCTTGAGTTAAAAGAAGGACGACCAGGATAATTCCAGGTTTGGAGTGATTGTCAGGAGGATAAAAGTTCTAATCTTGGGACATATTTGTGCTGGTCAGGAAAAGTGCTCAAGGAGATGTGAATGAGACTAATTAAGGCTAATTAATACAATCTTAAGACAACAAGGGATCATTTGGTCCTTCAAGGCTATTATTGCCTACACATACACCCTCAAGAAAAGTAACAATTTAAACCCACTCTTTATTTTACAGGAAATAATTGATTCATGTAAAGTGAACAACCTTGTTAGAAAAACAAAACTTTTAACTGGAGCCTAGCCTGTCTTCTACATCTTAGTTGCCTAACCATTTCCACTATTAAGTACAACAAAAGATGAAATGATGCATCAATACTATCAATTCCCTTAACTAACTCTATAAATTAGAGGAAAATTTATATAGTGTGGCAATATTTTTGTAATTGTAGAATTTATCTTAAAAAATTATACATAAATTTAAACTTTCATTGTTAAAAGTATACAGTGAAATAAAATGAGAAAATACATAACATGCATATTTGACTACTTGACAAAAACCACTAATTAAAGTATTCATTTTTTATTTATTTTTTGTAGCTTTCCTTAGTGAAATGTGAATTGTCGGCTGAAGAATGTTTACAGCTTGGACTCCGTAAATCAGATTTAATGTGCAGTTGGTGTGATCAACTTGTAAAACATGACTTGGATGTTTTGGTAGATAGTTGTCATCAGTGTTGTGGAGCTAGTGGTTCTAAAGACCCTATTAAGGTGATATACAAGTTCTTTTTATACTTGTTGTTTTTTGTGATTTAATTATCACAGTTATTTTACTTAGTGTAATTAAAACTTGGGGCTTTCATCATGGAATTTTTTAAACAAGTACTTACAACTTGCATCGTGGACAACTCTTTGCTTCATTGAGTACTCTGTTAGTAATTTCACCTGATGTTTTGAAAGAGACTGAGGGTTAAACTAAACCACATAAATCATGAGAAGAATATCTGAAAGGTTGCATTTGACTGTAGTTGTTAAGATGTAAAACTGTCAGTGCATGTATTTTACATAAGAGGTGTTATCAAATGTTTTCAGTGTTGTTTTGGGGCAATTGAAATGCAAACGTAGTAAACTGGGAAGGAGTGTGTGCAAAAGAATGCATGTTTGTACAGCCTATATATATATATATATACCATACAGGTAGGAAGATGTCTCTACAAAAAATGTTTGTTTTTGCACACATGAAGTATCATGAACTTAGATGAACGATAAAGTTGTATAACATACAATGTCACAGAAGCCTCAAGTGTTCGATGCCTGCTGATTATAACTACAAGTGGTGCATGTTTTATGATAAAATACTTTTTTTATTCAGTACAAAATTGATAATAAAGCAGTTATAACTTGTGAAAAAAGCATCTTTAGCTAATTACCATAAATGTTAGTAGCTAAAAGAAAATTTGTTAGCATAAATATGATGCTAAACTTGGTCAAATAAGAAAAAGTTTAACTACTGCTACTCGCTTATTTTATAATTGTTGCTCACATTTTCACCTGTCAAACCACAAAAAAATTACAGAAAACATTAGTAGTGTAAACATCTTATCCACAGACTAGCAGCACAGATAGAATTTACTTTGCAAAAACTGTAAGTTTATCCTTGATTTTCATCTTCACACTTTCACCTGATTTAAAATTTTTATAACTCCAGAGACTACTGTTCATATAGTTTTATCATCATAACCTAGAAGAAGGCTCATGCACTAAATAATATTGGAAGAGACCTATTAAGTAATCCTGTGAAAAAAATGAATTAAAATAGTTATGAATTTTGAAATATTGATAAAAATGAAACCTAATTAATCTGAATGTTTTCAGCTTTTATTTTTAACCCTAATTTACAATGAGTATTTTAAATTTTTGAATATTCTGAATTTAAATTTAAATATTTTTTCTTTTTTTTTATAGTGAATTTGACAGGTGTAATAACATAACTGGTCCTTCCTAAAAAAATCAAGGAACACAAGAGAATTTATTACACCTTTATTAAAGTGGTGTATAAATTACACAAGGAGTCTTAAAATAGTTAGAAAGTTGCATTTATATTTATTAGTGATTCTTTGTGGAAATTTTAAATAAATTTTCTATATAAATATAAAGCTTTATGTTAGTACTGCGTAGCAGTAAAATCTAAACATTACTGCATATCATCATCTTTCTTTTCTTTTAAATACTGTTACAACCATTTGTAGACACTTTAACAGAACTGAACCCCATCATTCAAGGATATTAAGATGAGATATTAAATCTGAAATTGCAATAATTATCAGTGATAAAGTAACAAATAAATTTACCTTTAGTTAACAAAAGTTTTGTGATTCAAAGAAACTAGTGATACATTTACATTTAAAAGAAGATTGCATTAGGAATTAAATTATTTTTGTGATATATACTTATTTCAGGATTTCATGAAGGTTGTTTGATTCTATCTGTGTGTGTGTATATATACATAAGGTTGAAATTATAGATCTCTAAAATTCAGGTTTATTACAAATTGTGTAATTACATTTCTAAAGATATTATTTCTTCTTTACAAAACTTTAGGTAAATTATGTAAAAATATTAGAATGCCAAATTTTCTTCATTAAAGTTCTCTTTTCAACATCAGTATAATTATACACACTTTTTGGTTTCATTACTTTATATTTGTGTGCAAATTTAGTTCAATTTCTCCTTTAATGTCGTATATTAGGAAAAACATTCACAATCAGAGTTCATTCCAATGGTCACCAATTTTAGTGTATACTTGAAAAATTTCTGTCTGTATTTTTGTGAATCAGATTTTACATTTAAAATGTACTACTCAGAAAAATGCAAAAATAAAAATGTATTAAATTGGACTATGGATATGAAGATTCATAGTTTGCATCCTGTTGCTTGAAAATCACACTCCACACTTTGTACCCATGGGTGCACTAAGCGAATGATTACACAGGCCTGCAATGGTTTCATTGTTTTGAAATTTTTACATGTTCTACGGTAATTCTTGTATGCTGAATTGAAAATATCCATTTTTCTTCATCATGTACAGATTTTTCACAAAATGTCATGTATACTTTTACATAAGTGAATCATTTTCATTGAAATTGGGTCACATTTTGTTATGCTTAAAATGTTGACAAATTTCTCTAGACCAATCGCGACTTGAGAGTCTTATTGATCATTCTAGAACCTACAAGAAGCACCGCTAGTATATAAACAGTTAACAGGCCGCATGACATGTCATTTCTAGATAGTGTTTGTTTGTGCGTGCACTTTGAGATTATTTGTTTTTTCTTTTCAGTATTATTTATTCATTGCTATGTCAACAAGAGGTTGAGTAAATGACCCAAACATATTCTGTTATATTTGTGGTAAATTTGTTGTGAAGAAACAAAGGCAAAACATTACAGAATTCATCAAAAAAAGTGTATTACACGTATTTTGGAATAAAACTTGGGGGACCAAGACAAATCATGGGCTCCTCACAAAGTTTGCACCATTTGTGTCGAAGTGTTTAGACATTGCACTAAAGGTAAGAAAAAGTCTTTGCCTTTTGGAATTTCAATGGTCTGGCATGAGCCTAGAAACCATGGAGATGACTGCTATATTTGCTCATGTAACATGCAAGGGTACAACACTCGAAATAAAAATTAAATTTCTTATCCCACCTTCAGTCTGCTATGAGACCTGTTGCTCATGGACCTGATGTACCTGTACCTATTCACTGGAGACTCTTAATACAGTTTCATCTGATTCTGAAGCTGATGTCAATAGAAATGATGATAGGGATCTTTTTCAATCTTAAACGTCTGGTGAACCACAGCTTTCACACAAGGTGAACTTAATGATTTAGTGAGAGATTTGGGCTTTCCAAAGGATTTTTCAGAGATTTTTCAGGTCCAGACTTTGGGCTAAGACCTTACTTTCTCCAAGGACATCATTTTACTGGTACAGAAATTGTGAGAAAGAGTTTGACATCAATGTTCTTCCCTTTTCTTCAGTTTGTTTGTATTTTTGTTAACAAACATAATTATAAAAAATGTTTATTGTGGTAAATGAAATAATAATTTGATGATAAGTAAGTTTTTCTTTCTTCCCGATTTGTAAAACATTCTTACATAATAGAAAAAAATTAATATTATTTTCAAAATCTGCATAGCTGAATTATGGAAAATCCGTTAGTAAAACCAAAACAACTTTTATGAATTTATAACTTTCTAACTTTTATACATTCGCAGGCCTGTGTTATCAAATTCTAATATTCAATTAGTGTAACCAAAGTGCTGTGTATTAACTTTCTTCTCTTTAGCTTACGAGTTCCAACTTGGGACAGCTTATGTTGACAGCCTTTGTGTAGCTTTGTTTTATATATATATATAGGTCATTATGTATGAATGATCATACCACTCTCCAAGATATTCAAATAATTAAACAAACCAAACTTCAAGTTGAGGAAACTGAATAATCTTTGTGTTGCTGAGTTGATATTTACCTCTGCTCAGAGCAAGCTTTTTAGAGTAAAATAAAAATCAATCGGGCAGTCAATAAAGCTAATTAAATACACCTTTCTTATATTTTTACTTATAAAGATTATAGCAAATTGTTTGACCAATACTGTTAATGAAATTAACAATATATAAACAGTATACATTACTTAGGCAATGCAGAGAAATGAGCTATTACTTTGAATTACTATTGTAAAAATACATTTCTTTGGATAATGTAACCTTTATATAACATGTCTGTTTTTTCTACAATTCTAACTCTCCCTTACACTTCTTTTGGCCGATAAAAAGTCAATAATCTGTTACTGTGTAATGTTTGAGGAGAGTAACATCTGTGACAATTCATTAGTGACTTACTATTTGAACCATGTTAAGAAGTAGTAGTAATTTTCCTATAGTATAACCAAAAAGTAATGTTTATAAAGATAGTAAATAGAAAATAATATCTGAACTGTCCACGAAAATATAATAATGTTAAATGTAATACAAAGAAAGCATGCTAAACATAATACTTGGTATGTTTGAAATATTAACACTTACTTTATCTATCCCCTGTTTAACAAACATATAGAGATGGCTAAATTTTCTGTAAAAGCCTAGAAAGAAACTTGATAAGCCTCTATGAAGTAGAAAATTCAATAAAAATATTACTTAGAAAGGAAGGTTGCAACACTTATTAATATGGCAAAGTAATCATAAAAAGAATAAAGAACTAAATTAATGACATATCACACTAAATACATCATTCTTGTATACCAAATATTATCTGTTTATATTAGTTTAAACTAATGAAAGGTAAAATCAGGGGTGATCCATACATTAAGGCAGTTAGTTCACCATTGCACTAAACAATATCCCAAGGATTAAAGGTGTAGATATGAAAGATTTTCAAAGGTTGTGAAACAGTAAAATTTCTAAACCCCTAACACTGTTGAATTTCCCATAGAATTGAATGAATCTTGTGTTTAAAATGTGCAATGAGAAACCTTGACTATGAAAAAATGTAAATGAGATTACAAGTTCTGTTGACTGTTTTATAATGGTGAACAAATTTTATTGCAAATAATAAGTTGAGAGTAATAAACATACTAACTTGTTTGAAATATTTGTATTTGGGAATGGAAAGTTTATAACTTCAAAGTTGAAAGTTTCTGTTTTATTAAAAACTTTAAAATTGAATGTTTGAATGATATTAGGTCGTCAAGAAATTAATATCATTTTTGTTTTGGATGAAAAAACCTGAACAACTTTTATATCAAAACAAAACATTTATTAAATATAATAGTCTTTATTCTTATTGATGATGCTTTTTCATCTTGCAACCAGGTTGTTATTGCCCTGATTAAAGAAATCATTTGGCTTTGAAGCAAAAATATGTCAATGTCTTCTTTAACACCTTCCACATTTGCATACATTTTCCCATTAAGATGGTGTTGCAGCGAACGAAAAAGATGGTGATCTGATGGTGCCATATCTAGATAATATGGTGGGTGGGGGAGAACTTCCCAACCCAACTCTATAATCTTGTGTTGTATCAAACATGCCACTTGTGGATGTGCATTGTCATGGAGAAGAAGAACATCTTTCTGATTGATGAGTGAAGGGTGTTTCT